GTCGACGATGACTATCCCGCATCCTCATCGTCGAGTCGGCGGAGAACACCTGTGTCACCATATGGGCCATGTCTGGGACTGGGCTCCACCGGGGTAGTACTGGGAGGCGCTACCTATCGGGGGCGCAGGTTGGTGAGGAGCTAGCCTGTCATTGACCCGAACCTTCTTTGGTGGCGGCCGCGTGGGCCAGTGACGGTCCAGAAGCTCGTGGACCCCGCGGAGGTGGTGCGTCACTGTGTCAGTGAGGAGGATGCGCACGTTCGTCGCTACTTGTTTGCGTTGGAGCACAGGTTCTCCAATACCTGGCAGGTTCTCCAGGGATCTCAGTGGAGCTATGATCCTGTGATGGTTCCTTCTCTTTGGGTGTCCACCGCCCGTGCCGATACCCGTCGTGCGCTAGGGTTTTAGTTGTATTAGTGATGTTATATGTATGATACTATTCGGGATGTATTAGTGATAATATTCGACGATGTATGGACGCATGAGATGATTTACTTTTGCTTATTGAATGCATGCTAATTTGAATACTTATTTATTTTACGATTTGGTTTTGCTTATTGAATGCTCATGTCAATATAAGTCCTATAAGATATTTTGAGTATCCTGGTGTTGTCTTCGATCGATTTTCAATTAATGTTTCAACTATGAATATAGGAAATGTCTGACAACGAAAAGGATTTCGGTATTTGCAAATACTGCGAAGACGAGCGCGGCTTGTGCGACGGAATCTTCCTAGATGATGATAGGCGATTCAGCATCAAGCTGGACGTGAACTTCGAAGTGGATACAGTAAGTCACAACGACAAGTCTTTTTTCGTAATTAAGCATGACATCTGCTTCATTTGCTTTAACTTATAATTTATTTATTTTTACTATTCTACTAGCGTATCCCCTGCCATGCAAGAGTTTTTGTCTTGGATAAGATAGGTTTCAGTCGTACTATGAAGGTAAAGAAAGTTTACTTGAAGACCGAGCATGGTTATATTTTCCACGCAAAACTATACAACACAGACGACTACACCTATTTTGGATGCAAAACTTGGCGAGCACTATGCAAGACTTATGCATTTGAGCTTGATATGGTTATCACCTTTGATATTCGTCTGGAAGATGATATTGAAGGTAATACCGACATCTGGGTCGATGTGCAAACGCCTACAGTTATACCATTATGTGAGTTTCTCAACCATATTTATGTCTTTGATATTGTTTATTCAAAAATAGTTTACAACTAATTTCTATTGTCAGCTTATTTCGGTTGAAGCAAACATGTCCAGTGCTTGGTACACAGGACCTACTACTGTCACGGGGCTGAACTAAACTGCGAGGAGCTAAGTCATTATGTTTCATGGCTTGAGGATCTTGATACTATCAAGACAAATTTTCTTCTTGCACTTAGAAATGTTAGTACTGAAAACGTGTGACCAATAGTGTTTGTAATGAACTACGGTCACATCTATTTAGGAAAGATGGTAAGATTTTTACTATTTGTCCTCAGTGCATCTTTTGCATACATTATTTTTTAAACTAAACTTCATTGCTAAGTATGTTACTATATGATGTTCTTCAAGAGGGACTCCCAATGAATGTTGTGCCTCATGGGATCGAGACTAATGGTACCATGAGTATTGTTAGCTTACGGCCAAGATATCCTACAATGCACTTTAGTGCATTCAGGATTTCTAAGAGCGAGGAAGTCTTAATAGTGAAAGGCTGGACCAAATTTGTGAGGGAGGAGCGCAGAGAAGTACTAGGGGGCAGCAATCAGAAGCGCATCCCACAATTAGGAGACAGGTTCATCTGCATGCTCCAACTTGATAAAGGAGGAGAGCTACACATGTTTTATATTATTACCTGAGAGAGAGCAATAGGAGTGATTAGCTAGCTAGAAATGAGTTTGAAGATGATGATGTGCTACACTATGACTATATATGATGATTAAATAGCTAGTGTTAGTGGTAATGACTATGATGATTATTATTAGCTAGTGTTGGTGGTGATTAGATAGCTACCGCATCTAGTGTTGGTGGTGATTAGCTAGCTAGAATGAGTTTGAAGATGATGATGTGCTATATTATGACTATGGTGATTAAATAAATACTGTTGGTGGTAATGACTATGATGATGATTAAATAGCTTGTGCTGGCGGATTAGATTCAAGTGGAGGCAACATGTGGTGCATATCGAAAGTACTACTAGTCCAAACTAGATCAAGTTTGGATTAGTAGTATACTTTTGACATGTATCACATATTGCCTCCACTTGAACCTAATCCACATTCATTTGACACACTGTTATGGATAATATGATATAAACCTCATAATTGGTATTGTACCAAAATTTGTATAACGGCGTATAAATACACTAAAAATGAAAAAAGTACTAGTAGCGATGGGTAGTAAATACGCTAAAACTAAGTAGATTAGCAGCAGCACGGGATAGAACAAGCGTTGCCGCTATGTGTCTTAGCAGTATCGCTTGTCGCACGTGCTACTGCTAAGTAATAGTTGTAGCGCCTTATTGGTAGCGCGGCTGCCCGCGCTACTAGTGGGCATTAAACCCGCGCTACTACTAGGGTTTTCCCTAGTAGTGTAGGGTTGGGGGGCCTTTCCTTCTTCGCCTCCCTCTCTTTCCCCCTTCTCCTTTTTGGAATAGGAAAGAGGGGAGCGAATCCTACTTGGACCGAGAGTCCAAGTAGGACTCCCCACCTTGACGCGCCACACCTTGGCCAGCCTCCTCCTCCCTCTCCTTTATATACGTGGGAGGGGGGCACCTCAAAGGCACACCAAAGTTTCTCTTAGCCGTGTGCAGTGCCCCCCTCCACAGTTACACACCTCGGTCATATCGCCGTAGTGCTTAGACGAAGCCCAGTGGCGGTAAACTTCATCATCACCGTCGCCATGCCGTCGTGCTGACGGAACTCTCCCTCGGTCTCAACTGGATCAAGAGAACAAGGGACGTCATCGAGCTGAACGTGTGCTGAACGCGAAGGTGCCATACGTTCGGTGCTTGGATCGGTTGGATCGCGAAAACGTTCGACTACATCAACCGCGTTACTAAACGCTTCCGCTTTCGGTCTACAAGGGTACGTAGACACACTCTTCCCTCTCGTTGCTATGCATCTCCTAGATAGATCTTGCGTGATCATAGAATTTTTTTTGAAATACTGTGCTCCCCAACAGGGGGGAGGGGGCTTGACTTGTGAAGCCTATGGGCCCCTTGGCGTTGATTCTTCCACCAAAAATTTGCATATATTTAATAAAAATTCTCCGTAAATTTTTATCGCATTTGGACTTAGTTTGATATGGATTTTTTGCGAAATAAAAAAAATGCAAAAACAGGAATTGACACTAGACACTAGATTAATATGTTAGTCCAAGAAAATCATACAAATTGTTATCAAAAGTATGTCGAAGTAGTAAGATAATGGCATAAAACAATCAAAAGTTATAAATACGTCAGAGACGTATCACATGGTGGCAGCCGTTACGACCAAAAGTGTGATTTTCAGGGCGAAAATATTGAGCCTGAGAATGGAGCGACAAATGTTTGCATAGTTCATCCAATTTCATCAAGAAATGCATGACTGAACAACTCGCATTCAGCTTTAAAATGATTTGATTATGCATATGTGGACCCATATGAGAAACCAATAAACGTATCAGCTCCTTCTCTTTTAATGGTTGGGCGCACGGCAATGTTTACAGCCGGCCTAAACGGAACAAAAAAAGGGCGCAGAGTCAGCACGTTGGAGTTGGCCTAAACTCCGCACCAAAAAATGTGCAGGAATCTAGCACTTCCGATGACGCTTGGAAGGACGTACGCTGTGGAGGCGCCGTGCGAGAATGGCATCGGCACGACATGACCGCGCCGCTCAGCCCGGCGCAGTATGAGGGACAAGGACGCCGTCGACTGCTGCAACGAGTACGGTGTCTCCTTCCTGTTCACCGCCGTCCGCCACTTTAGGCACTAAACCTGAACCTGGCCTGAGTCCGCAAGGTCAGCCCGCCACAGAAACTTGCGGATGTTTCTCGCAATGGGTGATTTTGAGTCCAGTTAGGAACATTAATATATATTCTGCCACGCACGGAGGTCATGTTTTATCACTTTGCTGAGCCAGCAGCTGAGTGGGAACCTAAATAAGGTCAGAAAAACCAGGGGTCATGTACTATTCAAACTAAGCAAAAACTGTACTTGTATTCAGACCTCGACATGGATGTAAATTCCAGAGTCCATGCTGGTCTGTAGAATTACGTTAACTCTGTAGATGGGTAGATGGGTAAAGGATGCCAAAAACTCTGATTTCAATTTACTGGAGATACATTTCCAACTGCCAACTGAACAATGTAAAGATGTCCTGCTTGTTGCTTGTTACAACTTGAACAGTGTCCAGATCCCTGGTGTTCACTGTGAGCAACTTGCATGCTCTCCGGCATCAGCAATCCATTTGCAATAAGTGTTTAACCCGAAAAAGAAAATATACATTTGTAAGCAACACCTTCTTGCCTCCTCTCTGGCAGCACAGCTGAACTCATCTATCAGCATGCGCACTTAGCTGACAGTCTAACAAACAAACGGTGCGCAATGACGCCCGCCCTCAAGGGCACTCTTAACTCACCGCCTGTGCAACCATGCACGCCGCCGACAGCTTAATGCATACCAAGTCGATTCATGCTAACAAGAACAACTTCACAGCACAAATGAAAATTGTACTTGGACAAACCAGAAAGACCACATTAGACTACTAGAGTACGAGTACTAGATAGCCTGCACACAAATGACTGCAAGGTAAAACGAAAAACAAGATGAAGAAATTATAGGTAAAAACAATTTATCCGATTCAATCCGTTACTCCCACCAGCAATCCAGCCACGCAAGACTTCTTGGCACAAACAACCTCATCATGTAACACCACATCCAGAAAGAATGCCAAGAGAAATGCAGGTTTTTTAGCTGAAGAACCAGCAGTCTTGCAGCACAAGAGGCACGGCGTGGTGCTATTAACTGTAACTTACAGAGATCCTTTCTGCTTTGTAGTAGTACCTGAGGTCGAAAGGGTCAGCCCACCCAAAATCAGAAACTATATTGTGCCTGCAGAGTGGACCTGCGACATCAGTGCGTGGGCTCTCGATGATCTGTAGTTTGCAAGCTTTGCTGCTCCATTTCGCACCCGTCAGAGGCTTCAGCTTCACATTCACATCATCATCCACCGAGGAGAAACATGCCTTGGCCACCACGACCACCATCAGCTCCAGCACCCGACCTCTCTCCGCAATGAACTTGAGGAAAGCAACCTCGCTTCTCGACCCTTGGAACTCGTAGAAGAACACCTTCTTCATGCTCTGCACCATGCATTTCATGGGACCGCCCTCCTCCCAGAACTTCAGATTGACCTTGCCGGTGGACTTTTCAGGTATGGGAGGGGACTGCACATGAAAATGGTAGCATACATAGTTCAGATATCTTATCTATGAGCATGCCAACAGTTATATGATTAATTTCACAGTTCTGACAGTGCAAAGTTGTACTCGCTCCGTTTTATTTAGTTCGCATATTAGCTTTGGTCAAAGTCAAGCTTTACAAACTTTGACCAAATTTATATACAAAAATATTAAGATATATAATAACAAATCAACAACATTAGATTTATTATTAAATGTACTTTCACATCGTATAGATTTATTATGATAAATGTCTATATTGTTTTCTATAAACTTGGTCAAACTTTACAAAGTTTGACTTCAGTCAACTCTAATATGCAGAGTAAATAAAAACGGAGGGAGTACTAAATCAAAGACGCTTATTTCGGGGCTAGTATTCTAAAATTGCCAATGCAACAACTGTATCTAGTTAAGTTAACCAATTATACATAGACATGGAGCGTCTCCAGCTTGGGGAAACAGCGGAGAAAGCCGGGCACTTTCTTCACAGCATTGCGGATACCGAACTGCACGTCTATGGCCAAAATCTGGACACTAGGGACAATGTTCTCCTTGCTCCCAGCCTGCAATGCATCCCAGCACCAAGAACAGAGAAACTAAGTCAGATCATACATTGGCAATATTAATTAACACAGCACAGTTAGTCAGTTACATATGCAAATTAAATTAGTAGGATAAACGACCACGATGACGGTGTTGCTAATCCCCAGCTCTGTCTGTCCTGGCTGAATGTACCCCAGCACACGCAGGTTGGGTGCACCGCCAATCTTGATCCTGGAAGGGCTGTTTATGGTGAACTTGCCGGTTCCAGGCAAGGATACATTTCTCAGGAAGAGCCTCTCCAGGCGAGGGGCATCCACCACTTCGATGTCCTTCAAGTGGGTATAGCCCAGCTGAAGACACCGCAGGCTGTGGCTGACGAGTCGGAGGCGCGCTCCGGTCTGGCTCCACATGATGAGGAGGAACTCCAGGACGGGGCTTCTTTCGAGCAAGAAGGCCAGAGCACGGTCCTCCATGACAGTCATGCAGAGGCCGAGCTCCCGGAGATTTGGGAAGCTGGCGCCGCGCGGCACGGCGGTGGTGCCTGGAAGTGTCCAGACGCCGAGATAGAGGCGGGTGAGGGAGGCGCAGCGGAAGAGCGTGGCGGGGAGGCGCAGGTCAATCGGCCAAGGGCGGTTGACAAAGACGAGATCTTGGACCCCCTTGGCGACGAGGGTGTCGACCCAGTGCGCCATCTCGCCTCGGTGCTCGTCCATGGTGCTGCAGGTGAGGTGGACGCAGCTGAAAGGCCCCGGGTGCGCCGCGAGGGCGCTGGACACTGCGCCGGTGACGGCGCGGGGAGAGGGAGCGCCGATGATCAACGGGCCAGAGGCGCCGCCGTCCGGGAGCAGATGGCTGTCGACAAGAGTAAGGGGCGCCGAGCGCCAGAGTGGGCGCCAGCGCGAGGCGAGAGCGGCGGTGCGCGCGGCGTCCTTGGCGGGGAGGCGGGATATGATGTCGCGGAGGAGCTCGTCGGGGAGGCGGCTGATGCGGTCGACGCCGTCGGGGACCCACGACGCGCCGGCGAGCGAGAGGGGCGCGGTGGGGGAGACGGGCGGGTCCGGGAGGTACTCGTACGCGAAGTGGAGCAGCATGTTTGAGCCGAGGTCCAGCATCGCAGGATCCCGGCCGCAACGCTCTATTCTGGCGAGCATATCGCTCCTGGAGATGCCAAGGAGCACCTGCTGGTCGTCCATGGCCGCCGGAGGAGGGGGAAAAGGGCGACGGCGAGGGTTTTGGTTTGGGGGAGGAGCAGAATGGTGGCGGTGTGACTGAGTGGTGGTGGGCAGAGATGTTGGGCCAAAAGTTAGGATCAGGTATCCCTGGGCCCATTATACAGCTTCGACTCAACAAAGAGTTTCAATCTTCTAGAGAGAAAAAAAAATCAAATACTCAATACTAACTTTTTTTTGTTTCCCGTGGAAAATACTCAATACTAACTTTGTAACTCACCATAGAAAATATTGTGGAGCAAGTGAAGATTTTTTTTGGCTTCAACACAGACATGCCAATTGACTGTGGCACGGGTAACACGTCTTGTTTCCACCATTCCACGACGATCCGCACGATATGTGGTGATACCCAGAAGCTACTTGATGGCACAGGAGTTTGATAGAAACATATGATTTAAATAATTTGGTGATGAATTATTTCTCGCATTGTTCAGTCTAAGGTACTGGAACCGAATCCTAGAGCATCTGACTAGGTGAAGTCTATGGTTACCCGTGTCGTGAAAACAAACTTAGTGGCTCACTTATCCCGGAGAAGGCATGCGAGGCTCTTTTTCAACATAGGAGTTTTGAAGGCTAGGGCCCTGATGAGTTGCACGCTATGTTTTAAGCGCTTTTGGTCGATCATGGATGATGATCTATGTCAGTAGCAGTACTTTGTTACTATCAAGTGCATCGTTAGGGAAGAGGAAGGTTAAGGAGAAGTAGAGGGTGGTCTCTATGAGCAAGAAAAGTGTTGACTCTAGACGTGTTATGGTGTGAGTAAGACTCTGTTGGGCAGGAACAAGCAGTTGGAGGCCCGACTCTTCAAGATCAAAGAAACTCAGCCTCCTCTTCACCAGTCATGAATTTTGACCCTTATTTAGCAGCACCAAAACTTGAGTAGGCCCAAGACAAGTAAGGGGCGAGAAGAGTGGGCCATGGATGTATTACATTTTGGGTTGAGACTTCGTGGGCCATAGAGTGCCTAAGTGGGTTGGAGGCTTATCAAGGTGTTATATCCGATAGTCGATCATTGTAATTAGGTATCATGAATGAATGTCAGGACCGACGTCGGAGATATTCAAATCTAGTCATTTAAATAGCAAGTGCTTATCAATGATTACAAGCCCCTCCATAGAAGGTGATGACACAACAACTATACAATAGAACTGCTAACATATGTACAACCACTCTGAAAATGAGAAAATTTAACAATACAAACAAGGGTCTCATGACCATGTTGCAGCTCATACAATGAAAACGAAAATATACCTTAGACATGTAAACATACCAAATGCCTGAAGATGGCTTAGGAAAAGCATATGGCGTCCATAACCCTTCTTAGACCACTACCTTAATGTCGTCCTTCACCACTAGAGATCACCTATTCCAAATGCCACAATCTGATTTGCAGCATCCTGATCAAAAATAAATAAAGCAAAGTTAGTACCCAACTGTATTCACAAGGCTTACATCAGAACTAACTACATGTATGTATCATTGCATCGGTATCAAAGAAAAGGATATGTGGGTTTGATTGCAACAAAAGCTAGCATACTATAGAGACGACTACCATATTAAGCTACGTCTACCAGAGTTTGTGACATGGGGTAAGAGAGCACACAGAGTCCATCTAGCTAAACACCACAACAATACACCATCCTGAATCGTCCCTCGACTCACCTGCGAGGAAGTAATCCATGGCACTCACGCTTAACTCGGCAACTTTTATTAAGTTACTATTTAAGTTTTTCTACGATCAACCAACAATCTCCGAGTCATCCATAACCGCGGACACGTCTATTCAAATAGATTTAACCCTACAGGGATGTACCAAGTTACCCACATACTCCCTCCTTTCCGATTTATAGGGCTTATCTCAAAATCTTAGTTTTTTCATTTTATAAGGCTCAATTTGGTTGTTCCCCATCACAAGTTCAGATTCCAAGGTGCATTAAATAATTGCATGCAGGTATTAAGAGAAAATTGACCAATGCATGTACTTTATGCATGCATGCATTACAATTAATACATTGGTAAACATACATTTTTGAAGAAAATAAGAGCATTAATTAGGTGCTTTTGCAAATTACAAAAACGATTCCACCACTCACCATCTACCTTGGTTGGTGAAATTTTTGAATTGAGCCCTATAAACCGGAAAGGAGGGAGTACGAGTGAAAGCCTCTTAATGTTTGTACAATTATCACACTTCACGAGATATGATGGCAGAGGGTGAGAGACATGATACTTTCCTACGCTGCAGAGAAGTCCTGGGAGAGTCAACCGCCTGAGTTGTACCCAAACCTGACCGAAACTCCAAAACAGAGATAACTATTGTGTGACACGGCAAGCCTATCCCGCGAGATAACCACTTACTAGGCCACTCCTAGGTAAGACCACATGACCATCACATCCCATCACATTTTTTTACCAACTCGCGCTACAAAATGGAAAGCCCAAACAATGTGACTCCTGGACACGACTATGGTAAAAGTACTAGGACGAGGGAGTCCCATACACCCACTAGTGCAGAACCGGGCAATAGCACCGGTTCGTAAGGCCCTTTAGTGCCGGTTCCATAACCGGCAATAAAGTATGGTCATGAAAGTCCCCCCCCCTTTAGTACCGGTTCAGCACGAACCGGTGCTAAAGGGAAACCACGTGGCACGAGCCAGCTCCGGGGGCCGGGAGCCCTTTAGTACCGGTTGGTAACACAACCGGTACTAAATGTTTGTGGTTTTTTGTTTTATTTTGTATTTTTCAATTGAATTTGTGTTATCAATTTAATTTAGGATTGTTTTACGTTATAATGAGTTGTAGTCGTCGTCATCATCATCATCATCATCGCATATTAATAAATAAATAAACTCTAGCTAGCTAAAAATTATCGTAGTCGTCTAATTACCACTATTTAATCATCATAGTCATTACCGCTAGCTATCTAATCATCACCAACACTGGCTAGCTTAAAGAGGAAACATTCACTTTGTAACAGAAGCAAAGATATCATCGAGTTCAACATAATCATCACCAACATCGAAGTTGAGGACACGGACATGAGACACTAATTAAGAGCATGAACTAGTGCTGCTCCCTCTCAGGTAGAATAGCATAGAACATGTATAGCTCTCCTGATTCATCATACTGGAGCATGCAGATGAATCTGTCTCCTAATCTTGGATTGCGCTTCTCCTTGCTGCCCCCTAGTACTTCTCTGCGGTCGTTAACAATTTTGCTCCAATCTTTCACTATTAAGCATTCTTCGCTTTCAGAAATCCTGAATGCACTCATGTGCAATGTAGGATATCTTGGCCGTAAGCTAACCATTGACATGTCACCTTTAGTCTCGATCCACTGAGGCACAACTGTCATCGGAAGTCCCTGTTGAAGAACATCGTATAGTAATTAATATACTAAACAATGAAAGTTTAGCTTCAAAAATAATGTATGCAAAAGATGCACTAATTAAAGACAAATAGTTAAAATCTTACCATCTTTCGATTATAGATGTGACCGTAGTTCAATACGATCACCATTGGTCGCACGTTTTGAGTACTAACATTTCTAAGTTCAGGAAAAACAAATTGTCTTGACAGTATTAAGATCCTCAAGCCATGAAACATAATGATTTATCTCCTCGCAGTTTAGTTGAGCCCCGGGGCAGTAGTAAGTCCTGTCTACCAAGCGTCGGACATGTTTGCTTGAACCGAAATAAGCTGACAATACAAATTAGTTGTCAACTATTTTTAAATAAACTGTATCAAAGACATAAACATATGCATGCATGGTTGAGAAAAACTCACATAATGGTAGAACTAGATGTGTTTGCACATCGACCCAGATGTCTATATTACCTTCAATATCATCTTCCGGACGAATATCAAAGGTGACAACCATACCATGCTCAAATGCATAAGCCTTGCCAAGTTTTGCATTCAAAATGGGTGTATGTGTCTCCATTATATAATTTGACGTTGAAAGTATACCCATGCTCCATCTTCAAGTAAACTCTCTTTACCTCCATATCATCTATAGCACTAAAACCTATTTTATCCAAGACAAAAATTCTTGTATGGCAGAGGATGCGCTAGTAGAATAGTGAAAATTTAAAATTATAAGTTGAAGTAAATGAAGCATAAGTTTTGCATTCAAATAATAATTGACAAAGTGACTTACTGTATCAAATTCGAATGTCTTATCCAGCTTGATGCTGAAGCGCCTACCATCAACAAGGAAATTTCTGTCGCACAGGCCGCTCTGGTCTTCACAGTGTTCGCACATAATGAAATCTTTTTCGTCGTCAGATGACATTTCCTATGTTCATATAGGTGAAACATTAAACACCTATTACTATCTAACATTAATTAATATCTAGCCAAATATATATTCATCTAACATTTGACATTAATAAATCTAACTATATTCATCTCTAACAATTGACATTAATATATATTTAACTTTTCTATCTAATTCATCTAACATTCGACATTAATCTAACATTTATATAAACTCAAAATATATAAAAAATTAAATAAACAGAAAAACTCATTAATAAATAATATTTTAATTAGATCATCAAATCTCAGATACCTAATTTCTTACTAAAAATAAACTAGTTATATTAATTATTGAACTATAGTTCAAATCTCATATACCTAAATAAACTAGTTATATTAATTATTGAACTAGTTCAAATCTCATATACCTAAATAAACTAGTTCGACAATTTTCTTACTAAAAATAAACTAGTTATATTAATTATTGAACTAGTTCAAATCTCATATACCTAAATAAAGTAGTTCGATGATTTTCTTACTAAAAATAAACTAGTTATATTAATTATTCAACTAGTTCAAATCTCTAGTTCGACAATTTTCTATCTAGCTAATTCATCTAACATTCGACATTAATCAAACATTCGATCATCTAATTAACTTTTTCTAAAAAACAGAAAATAAGTAAAAAAATGTGTGTATGTGTAT